CTTTCCTGCCTATGCAGGGGTTCGGACTCGATGATCTATTGAGGTCCCTTCCATCCCTAACATCTGTGAATCTGTTCTATGGTTTGCAGTAGAAAACCCCATCCTTCTATTGTTAGTCCCTGGCCCGGGCGCTCTGTATTTCCCTAATGGCTTTGTCATCTTTTTTCTTGGATTTACAATCCTAAATATCTTCTAATAAAAGTCAATTTGTTCTAGTAAAGGTTAACTAGAGTTGACAGTCTTGTTCCTCCAGTTGATATTTTCTATTGCTGATGCTGGCACAGAGGCTGATTATTTTGGACAGTTCTGAGGATTAATTATAGGGGATTTTTTTTCATTTTTATATTAAAAATTGTTTTTTTTCCTCTTGCCAGTAACTAAAAATTCTTGTAGGTATGCTTAATGTATTGTGAAGTCCCACCATTGAACTCTTAGTTACACAATTGATCATGTACATAGATAATCCTACCATGAGCAGGGAGTTGTACTAGATAATCTCCTGAGGTCCCTTGCAGCTCTACTATATACATGATTTCATGATCGTTACTCATAAGCGTAAATCTCTTCAATATTGGGCACAATATCTGGTTCAATATTTTCATCAACAGTCTAGAAGATGGGATGGGGGCACCCTCAGCAAGTCTGTGGATGACACCAAGCTGGAGGGAGTAGTAGATAGGCTGGAGGATAGAGCTAAGATTTACTAGCAGCAGCATCACACTGAAGGCTCATGTTCATCTTGCGGTCAGTCATGACCCCCAAGTCCCTTTCATCTATAGCGCTAACCAGCGTAGCACTGCCAAGCCCATAAGCATGCTGCAGGTTTTTCCTCCCAAGGTGGAGAACCTTGCATTTTTCAGTATTAAACACCATCTGGTACTCATCTGCCCATTTCATGAGCCTGTCAAGATCTGCCTTGATCACCCTCCTGTCTTCAGGTGTGGATGCTTTACCCCAGAGTTTGGTGTCATTACTGAACTTGACTAGTCCACTTCTGACACCAATGTCTATGTTACTGTTGAAGATGTTAAAGAGTATAGGCGCTAGGACAGCCTTGAGGGACCCCACTGGTCACCACGCACTGGATAATATAGTTGGGATAGTTCTGCTTTCAGGGAGCTGGACTACATGACCTCCTGAGGTCCCTTCCAACCATAATTTTCTTTGACTCTGACTTAAATATCCACTGACAATGCTTACTTGGCCTGCTTCAGTTACTAGCAAAGAAAAAGCCTCTTACTATCTCCAAAGCTGTACAACCCTCTCAAAAGGCGGCTGTGACTGCCCCAAGCCCACTCATTATCCTCTTATTTACAAGGTAACATTAGATTGAATCACCCTTTTCCCGCATCTCTGACCATGGGGAAAGACAATGGGAAAGGGCACCCTTGAGCATTGCCCTTCAGCAGCATCTGCTATAGGCACTTATCCTAGGGTGACTTGTGATCCTTTTTAAAGCCTACAGGCTCAGTAGGGATACCTGTTCTCTGGGAAAAAAATAGAGTACAACCAAACAGTGGACATGGTGATTGGTGGCAGGAGGGCGAGCAAGGACTGACAGCCCAGATTGCTCTCCAGCCCTGATTGCTCTTCCTGTCTCCAGTGTTATAGCCTTATCTCCCTTGCTGTCAGCCTCTGCAAGAGCCAGACCTGGAGCTGCTGTGGCGACAGTAGTGGTAGAAGCTCTGGTTCCAACCTGGGGTACATGGTGGTGGCAGTTCTGGCTGCAATCTAAAGGCTTCAGCCCCCACCATATGCCCCAAGTCAGAGCCAGAGCTGCTTCTGCAGCTACCATGTGCTCTGGATTGACACTAGAGCTGCCAGTGCCACCACTTTTTTGTGCTCCAGGCTAGATCTAGCCCACAATGAGCCCTGTGGTTCAGATCTGCCTGGGGCACAAGGTGAGTTTGACTCCCCTGATCTAAACTAACCTTCATCTGGTCTGAGGTCCGGTGTTGAGGCCTTTATCAGGGTCTGAAGTGATGTCTCCATTGAGTTTTCTTTCATAGCATCCACTATGTTTTACAAATGTACTG